GGCCAAGGCCAAGGTCAAGGCCTAGGCAAAGCACAAGTCCAACCCTTGCAAGGGCCCCGCGGCGGCCAGGGCGAAGAGCGCCACCTACAAGGACGGTTCTAAAGGATGCCGCGCTTGAGTGGGAGAGTGGTTCGAAGTCCAGCGCAAGAGGGGTTTCTTGGCCATATCGGCCAAGGACCTCTCTTGCGCGGGCAAAATCTAAGCACCTGCTTAGCCGCGAGCCTCGAGATCGCTCGAGTCAGCCTCGTGTCCTTCGCCTCTGCGGGCAAGTCGCCACGAGCCTCGCGATCGCTCGAGTCAGCCTTGCGTCGTGCGCCTCTGCGGGCAAGTAGCCGCGAACCTCGAGATCGTTCGAATCAGGCTTCTGTCGCGCGCCTGGTTTAACTTCCCCTTCCTCCTCTTTGTCGTCGCCATCTGCGTCGTCATCATCATGGCGAACGTACCTTCCCCCGGAAAATCGTTATTTATTTATTTATTTATATATATATATATATATATATATATATATATGTCGTCGCGCGCGGGGCGAGCACGAGCAGACCGGCGCCCAGCGAGAGCGGCGGGGCACAGGTCGGGTGCGTCGTCGCGCCCCGTCCGCAGAGTCAGGAAGGCAAGGGCCGCTGAAACCGCTGCCAGCCTCCGGGCGGAGGTGCCTGAACGTCCCAGGGCCATCCGAAGGAATTCCAACTGCGGCCTCCGCCCCACGCATCGCTCCCCCTGTCAGAGCATCTCGCCGGGTCGCTATGTTCCCCATTCCCGCCCGCTGCTTTGCCCCCCCCCCCCCGTTCTTCCTCAACCTGCCGCCCTCCATTTCCCTGGGCGTCCCCCAATTGCCCCTGGCCCCCGCGCGGCGGCAAACGCCCGCGCCCCCCCGCAGCTGAAAGACTCACCTTGCGCTCGTCCTCCAATCCGCTCGTGAAGCGTTAGTCTTGATTCCACACTGACACTGGCGAGCGACGTCGAGGCCCCAGCAGATCCGCCAGGCGCGATCGGCCCCCTCGAATGGCGGGCGAACCAATGCGTAAGACGATGTCGCAAAAGTAAGCTTAGAATTTGGGGATCCGCGCAAGAAGCTAATCCACTCGCCCCAAGTGTAGTTCTGTGCCTGTCCGATTCTGCAAGAATCCTCTGGACTTCTCAGGAATCCCCCAGAATCCTGCAGGAATCCTTCAGGAGTTCGGAGAAATCCATGAAATCCGTCGCAAATGTTTAGACATCCAACGGGATCCCTCAGAAATGCGTCAGGAACCATATTTGTTCAGGAGCCCTCCGGAATCACCAGAAATCCTCCATGAATCATTCGAACTCCTTCAGGAACTCGCAGGGATCCTTCAGGCCCCCCCAAGAACCCTCAGGAATCTTCCATGAATCCTTAGGAATCTCTGAGGAACCCGCAAGAATGCTTCAGGAAGTCCCCAAGAAACCTGCAGGAACCCTTCGGGCATCCTTCGAACACCTAAAGGAATCCGGAATAATCTGAGAGGAGCCCAAAGAACTCCTCGAGGAACCCTTTAAAGATCCATAGGAATCGTCAGGCATCCTCAGGATTCCTCAGACAGCTGGAGGAATCATGTCAAGAATATTTATATATCCTTCTGAGATCTTCCGAAATCCTTCTGAGATCTTTCAGGATCACTCAGGCGTCCTACAAAGTCCGAAGCGATCCTCAGAAACCCAAGAAAATCTGGCAGAAATCCTTGCAATTCCTCCAACGAGCCTCTCAGGATACTCTAGATAACCGGTACGTAGCCTTTACGGAGCCTCTAAGAAGTCTCAAAAGGACCATCTAAGGGACCTCCGAGGAACACCAAAAACTTCCAAAACGGCTGTGGTTGGTACCGATTGATAGGGATTTTTACCGGCATGGTTGGAATTCGTCCTCGTTGGTGGTAATTTCTCCTACTTTCGGTCGCCACCCCCTCCGACCCCGCCACCCGTGGGGGGTCCAAGGGGTCGTGACCCCCTCCCTTTCCGATCAGGACGGCCCAAAGAAGCCCCACAGACCCGCAAGAGAGGGAAAGCAAATCAAGTCGAAGGGAAGGGCATTGATCCCTACTTCCCCGCTGGGCGGGGAGCGGTCCTAGGCGGGGATCGCTGGAGGCGGTCCCGGGGAGGGGGGTCCCGAGGCCAACACGGCCCACAAGGCCCCCCACGAGGGCTGTCGCGGAAGCACTGGTACAAATGGTGACACTGGTAACCATAATGTGGCGGTTGTGGTGGGAGCGCCGATAAGTTCGGACGGTCAGACGGTTTGACAATACGGCAGCGGGAGCGGACGCATGGGAAGTGTAGAGACAGAGGGGTAATGAGTGTGGAGAGAGAGAGAGAGAGAGAGAGAGAGAGAGAGAAAGAGAGAGAGAGAGAGAGACAGAAAAAACACACATCAAGATATCCTCAGGTGTAATCATAACTGCAAGCAGATACGTAATGTAGAGTGTGTGGGTGTGAAATTTGCTTTCGGCCTGGCCTGAAAGCCCCGTGCGCCAAAATCTGGCCCCCCCCCAAAAAAACCTGCGGAGGCCTTGTGGTGTGGTGTTCAGTCGAAGCACAGCCACAAGGAAGCGGGCCAAGAGCACGAACCTCCTAGCCGAAGGCCTGAGCCTCCTCCGTGGAGATGCCCACAGAAGAACATCCCAGAACGGGACGCCCAAACGCGATGAACACTAGGGTACCCCTCAAAAGTTAAGATTGCCCTTGTCCCTCTTACCAGCTGCATGCTTCTCATCTCTCGACTTAAATCTCCGACATCGTGATGTTTTCACGTCGACCCCCAGATCTGGACACCCTCCCCCGGACCAGCTTTTCTCCGCAGACATTTGTTTGACGGTCCCAAGGCCCGGCGAGGCCCCCCCAAAGCCAAACACGGCCAAACACATTCATTATTTAGTTGTTCACGACATTGCAACAAAAATACAACAGGAAATCACGACCAGCGCGGTAACCTACATCTGTCTGCGGTTCCAGGCGGATCGGTGCTGGGGCCCGAAACAAGGTCTCGCCCGTTGCAAAAAAAAACAGCAACGCCAAGATCTCAGGGTCTTGCCAACTGTATGCTTCCTCTCTCCTTAGAGCCTCAAAACCATGTGACAGGCCGTGAGGTGACCTCGGAATCCCGAGAGATCTCATTGCGCGGTCCGCCATGGCACGGTTTTGGGACCTCGGGGGCCTCAATCGCCCGAGACGTCTTCGAAGAACGACCCGAGTCCCAAAACCGTGTGGTGACTCCGAATCCCGACGGACTCTCCACTAGAGGCCTCCCAAATGGGATCCGAGTAGATGGGGTCGAAGGATCGCGCCGCATCGCAGATGCATCAACGATGCGTCGACCATGAATTGACGACATCCGCGACGCATCGGTACCGTCGGCGTGGAGAACATCTCTGACTCCATTTGCAAGGCCTCTAATGGTGAATCAAGGATTCAGGGTCACCGCACGGCGTTGGGACTCGGGACGCTATCCGAAGACGTCTCGGCTGACTGGGGCCTCCGAGGTCCCAAAACCGTGGCGCAACGGACCGCGCGGTGAGGTCGTTGGGGATGCTCGTCTCACCGATGCCTATCACCACGGGCATGGCCTGGGCCCCAAGGCCGATGTCCCCCCCCTAGATGGGGGTAGAGGCTGTGCCCCGCGAGTTTTGAGTGGCATATCCAAAGCTGGGAGGGTGGCACGGTGGGGATCGGGATGGGGATCGGTTCAACGATACGCTGAATTTAGGTCGGGCATGTCCTCCTACAGGCGGATTTTGGACTAAATCAGCCGGCCCCCTTGTGGGGCCACCAGGCTGCGAGGCACGGGTTCGCAGTTTCCAGTGCCAGTTGTAGCTTGTAGTTTCCAGTGTTACAGTTCTGCTTCTTGCTGGTTACTGTAACTAGCTGACTTCTTGCTGGTTACTGTAACTAGTTGATTGACCGCGCGAGGGGGGGGGAGGCCCAAACGGGATTTTTAGCACCCCCTGGGCGCGTTGTCTGAATTGCTGGGGGGGCTCGAAATCGACACCCCTCACGCAGATCCGCGGGGTCAGGGTCCAAAAACACATGGGATTTGCCACATTTCTGAAATTCGGTGCCACCCCTCACGCAGATCCGCGGGGTCAGGGTCCAAAAACACATGGGATTTGCCACATTTCTGAAATTCGGTGCCACCCCTCACGCAGATCCGCGGGGTCAGGGTCCAAAAACACATGGGATTTGCCACATTTCTGAAATTCGGTGCCACCCCTCACGCAGATCCGCGGGGTCAGGGTCCAAAAACACATGGGATTTGCCACATTTCTGAAATTCGGTGCCACCCCTCACGCAGATCCGCGGGGTCAGGGTCCAAAAACACAGGGGATTTGCCACATTTCTGAAATTCGGTGCCACCCCTCACGCAGATCCGCGGGGTCAGGGTCCAAAAACACAGGGGATTTGCAACATTTCTGAAATTCGGCGCCACCCCTACGCAGATCCGCGGGGTCAGGGTCCAAAAACACAGGGGATTTGCCACATTTCTGAAATTCGGTGCCACCCTTCACGCACATCCATCGCAAGGCGTGGTAACCCAAACTGCGAGAACTCCCTCGGCCCTTTAATCGCAAGGTGTGGTAACCAAGCCCGTAAACCATACACGTCTTACCAATCGCCAGGTGTGGTAACCCCTCTTGTGATCAGTTGGTTTTGCTGATTGCGAATCGGCTTCGCATGAAGTTTCGATACTGCTTCACGACAGCGCCAAGACCTCATGACTTAGCTCTTCCATGGCCCATTCTCCGAGAGAGGGGGCCGGCGGCAGGGGGCGAAGCCCTTACGGATAATTTTTAATAGTCGAAACATTACAAATACAAAAAAGTACTCTAAACGTCGTCCCCAGATTATTCTTTCACCATTTTTGAAAATTACTCCTATAGAGGGACAATCCCGACTTACGCCTAGAGTTTGGGGGCCACCCACTCTCCGAGGCACAACCTGATCCGTCCAGGCCCGAGCAGGCAGGCGGCGGAGAGTGGCCGTGTGGGGCGCACCGTTCCTCTGGAGACTTCGCACTTCAGCTGCACGCTGCCCCAGCCGCCGGCCTTCCTGGGAGCGCGGGGCACAATCAAAACGCATCATAAGCATGCGCGGAAAGGATGCAAGGGCCTTGGGAGGCCATGTTGCGTTTTTCGAACGGGGTTGGCCAGCGAAAGTCGCAAGAGCTGCGCCGAGGGGGCAGGATGCAAGGGTTACCTTGGAAAAATGCTCATCCTTACGATGTGCTCTGACTGAACTCAAACACGGGAGGACAGGGGGGTGGCAGGAGGGGAGAGTGGGGGAGAAGAGAGGAGGAAGTTCTCGGTTTGAAACTCGAGCATTTTCGTCGATTCTCGGCGGTGTTCCGGCCTGGCATGCTCTCTGGCAGCTGCGCTTCGCCAAGAGCGTTCCAGGGGTGCCCAGATCGTCTCGGACGACCGACGGATAGCCGAGAGACGACCCGAGACATAATAATAGAGTCATCACCCTCCGTTGGGGAGAAGGAAGGGGGAGTGGGGGAGAAGGAGGGTCGACCTCCACCTCCTCTCGTCCAGAAAAAAATGCGACCGGTGTTTTTTTGTTTGCTGTTGCGCATTTTCAGCCTCTGGCGGCCCTCACAGGGCCCCCGGACAGGCAAAAAAAAATTCGGGATGAAAATCTGGTTCCGTGGACGGAGTCCAAATCTCTGGGGGTCCAGGTTGTGCAAAAATCACGACGTCGGAGTTCTGGGAACGGGAAGGGAAGGGAAGACGCGAAACGAAGAGGGGGGATGCGAGCAGAAGAGAAGGATGAGAAGGATGAGGACGGGGGAGAAGGTATGGAGGGCAGGAAATATGCTCGGAGGGTGGACAGGGAGGGGAGGAAAGCTTGGGGAATGGCGGAGGGGGAGGAAGGCAGGCGGGGAGGCAGAGGAGCCGGGGAAAAGAGAGGGGGAAGAGGGGAGGAGGGAAAGAGAGGAAGCGAGGGAAGGGGGGGAAGGGAGGGAGGGGGAGTGATCTCGAGCAGCGCGCCGAGGAGTGGGCCTGCGCAAAGCTTGCCCCAGCGCTACTGTATTCCGCTCCTGTCATTTTTAAACTTAGGGTGTACAATCATATGTTCCGCCATCGGGCACGCCTGTCCCAGGGCGGCTGGAACATTTATACCCCCGCATGCCACCGTAGGGGTGTAAACGTCCTGGGACATGCGTCCCTGGGACGTGCGTCCCCCGAATGCCACCGTAAGGGTGTCTACCCCTGTATGCCAGGCCCTGGGACATGCGCCCCCGACGGCGGAAACACTTCGTCCGCTACGTCAACATCTCCTGTGCTGCGTGCTCACTCGATGTGCTCAAGTGCAGAGCCAGGGGAGGACCAGCTCACAGAAACATCGGGCTTGAGCTGGCGATGCATCGCCGATGGAACAGCGGTAAGTACACGATAACAGATCCGCGCTCTCCTGGGCGGCTTGGGGCATCAAGCCCCAATCGACGATCGAAGGGCGATTGGGGGTCGATGCGCCCCCGCCCCCCGGAGCCTATCCAGCCCTGCGTTGCCCCTGAAGTGTGCGTCCATTGAGCACGCCCTGGGCTACCCAGGGGGCCTGATGAAGCCAACCGTGACTGCATTGAGTGCATGGGGGGGCTCCTCCCTCCTCCGTCCTCCCTCCTCCTCCTCCTCCTCCTCCTGGCTCAAGCTTGCCTCACTGGTCAGGTCCAGTGAGCTGGGGCCCAAGCTTGAATCCTCGGGCTTCCAGGAAGCCCCAGTCTCCCAATATTCCTTCTTTCTGCTGCATCCGCCTGCAGCCCACAGGTCTCCTGCTGCTCCTCGCCTGGGCAGTGCTGGTGACAGGGCAATGGCAAAATCTGGGAAGAAAAAAGGAGGGTACGTTCAGCCACAACGTCGTGGGCACTTCGTCTGCATATATCAGCAGTGCACCGGATGGGGCTGGTGTGATCAAATCAAATATTGCAACACATGTTACCCAAAATTCCATGGGCGAGGCAAAGGACGTGATGATAAAGGATCTGCTCACTATCCGACCCAGCCAGCAGATGCCAATCGTTGGAAAAGGTGGTAAGCACGCAGCTAAAGGCATTCGGGGGAATGACAAGCAGCAAACAGTCCATGCCGACGTCGCCGCCCAATCAGACACACAGGCATCAACGTCAGCTACGCCAATGCCCGACGTCGCCACCTACCAGGACCTTGCCCAATTCTGGAAAGAGCACGAGGGCGTGGGAGGAACAAGCTACGAGGCAGCCGTGCAAAAAAAAACTCAAGGCCGCCAAGCAGACAGTGCTCAAACAGAAGCCACTCGACCAACCGGCTCAGTCGTTGCGGGACCAGATCGAGCGCGCCAAGGAGCGCATTCAGAAGTCAGAGTCCGAATCCACTGAGAAGCTCGAGAAACTCACAACTTTGGCAGAAGAGTTTGCAGAACTCCAGTCGGCCATTGCCACGCTGCGCGAGGATGTGCAGCAGTTCGAGGCCCAGCAGCATGCAGTCACAGTTCACTCAGCGGCAGCGGCAGTTCCACACCCGAGCAAGCAGGTGCCGCTCCCGAAGCTCAACGAGTTCATGGAGCAGTTGGCAGCAGGACCTGTCTCCGACGTGCCGCTGCACATCCAGGAGCAACTTCGCACGCTCGCGAAGAGCATCCTGTCGGCAGTCCACGCGAAGGTCCAGCAGAGCCCCGAGTTGCAAGTGGAGGCTACTGCTGGGGCAGGCGCTTGAGTCAGCGCGCATCCTGCAGCGCGGGCGCAGTCAGTGCAGCCGCCTGCGCAGCCAGCGCTGCAGGGGCCCACGCAAGCTGCAGCATCATCGCCAGGAAGGTTCCCCAAGATCGGAGAGACGGAAGACCAATCGCAGGACGCAGCCGCCGCCATGGGCGACAAGCCGACAGGCGCCTCAGAAGCGCAGAAGCGCCTCGCCAGTGAGACGGACGCGCTGCAGCAGGTGCTGGGGTCGATCCCAATCAAGTCCACAGATCAGGAGGCCCAGAAGGCCAGGGCGGCGCCCTTGCAGGCGCAGGCCGCGGTAGAAGCCAACGGGAAGGGGGCGCCGACGCAGAAGACTCCGTATGGTGGGTAACGACAGCCAGCCCCGCATCCTTGGCGCTGTCGCGATCGACGGCAGCTGCTGGGCATCAGTCCAGCAATTCGCACAGGCAGAAGAATCCGAGAAGGTCTCTGTCATCCTTTGCCAAGAGGCGAAGCTTTCAGGTGACGAACTAGCGCGGGTAATCCAATGGTGCGAGAGACGGGGATGGAAAGCCATCTTCTCCGGTTGCATCTGCAGCGACAGCGGGTGCCCGATGTGTGGCGCGGGCATCTTGGTGCGCGACGGCTACAACATAGGGGTTCAACCAGCTGGCCCCCCCCGTGCATTCTTGCCCACCGAGCAGCAGCAGCAATCTGGGAGATCCCTGGTCACCCGCAGATTTGTTTCATCGCTGCGTAGTTTGAGGCTCAGTGGGGCTCAGCAGTACCAATCTTTACCTTCTTGCCACAGCAGGATGGTGTCAGCAGAGGTGCAAGGTGCCCGTCTTCATGGGCGCAGATTTCTACGCGAACCCCTTCGACGATCACAGCATCAAGTGTATGTGTGAACGAGCAGGCCTAGAGATGGTGAGCCCAGACGGGCACGCAATGTTTCAAGGCAAGGCTCGCAACAACATCGATTTCTGTCTCGTGAGTTCTTGTGTGAGAAATTCGGTGCAGTCTATCACATGCTAAAGCAATGTCGTTTATCCCCCCCCACCGTCCTGTTCGCCTGGAGTTTGCGTTCGAGGCCAACGTGCTGATCCCTGTGTTGCAGAAGCCCCAGAAGCTCCCCACCAGGACGCCCTTCGGCCCTTCCTTGGAAGCACATTCCTGGACCAAAGCTCAGGCCGCCCTGGAGATTATGGAAAAACTGGAGGAGATAGAGGACCCAACACAACATCAAGCCGCTCTAGATAAGACGTATGAAACCATGGTTGAAGAGTCGGAAGCGACTATTAGCAGAGCTACGAATACTGTGATCAAACATCCTGGACATAGATGCGCTCCCCCAAGTTAATTCGGATATCAGCTAAGGCAGTCGAGAGCCAGCACCGAGTATAATGGAAATCGTACTGGCGCTCAATCCGTTGGCTGCTCAATCAGGCGATATCCAAGGTACCACTGCCGGGAAGCAGGCCGACGATATACCCGACATCCTTCAGGCGCTTGGAAAGCCGCCTGCAGAGTTTCATTCGAATGAGGACCTGTCCGCCTTGCTCGACAGGACCAGCACGTTCGGGGGCAGTCTTCAGCAATACATTCAAGTGCAGGGTTTTGAACGTTTTTTTTTTTCCTCGGAACAGGCTAGGGGCATCTTTTCGGAGTTGAACGGCCAGGTGAAGAAGTTGTTGGATAAAGGGAAGCAATCAGAATCCTTGGGGGCTACTCAATCTTGGAAGCAATGGGTTTCAGATAAAATGACCTCGGGTGTTGGTCGGGCACGGGTGGTGACGTCGACGAACCCCCAGTCCCGATGGACAGCGCAGAACCGCCGCTCAGTTCATCTGGCGCGGCGATCCTGAGCCATCGCGCCACAGCAGCTGCGCCGCGCCCACTCGGCGACCCAGCAGAACCCTCAGGGCAGGGTGACGTCTCCCCAAGGAACGTGGACGGCCCCCCCCCTCGGCCCACCCAGCCCAACAGTGCCTCGCAGCAGTGGCCTCAGTGGGCCAACCGCCGAGGCCAGGGAGGCAACCAACACTCGAGGAGACCTCGATCTGCCGATCGACCGGGGGCCCGGGGCAGGTAGGAATGCCCAGAGCGAACCCGTGTCCGCAGCCGTAGCCGAAATCGGGGGCTGCCGCGACAGCCCTGACCCGGGCCCCGCCCTGGCTACACATGCAGGCACACGGCCGTCTGCCGCCGCACCCCAGTGCCCGAGCCAGCAGACCTATTATAGAGAAGCTGGGCCCGGTACGAACAACGGACCAGCCTTGCAGAGGCAGGACAACGCGGCCATCCGCCAGCCCGTCGACAGAAACCCATTCGCGCCCATTCGCCCTCCCGCCCCTGGCAGCGCGGCTGCCAGAGCGGATGGCGAGCCGCAGCC